CAGCAGGAAGCAGGAGCTGCACAAGAACCCCAAAGTATTTGGCAGGGCCAGTGCAACAGGAGGCCCCTCAGGAATGCAAAGCAGAGCTCTGTCCCTGCAGAGACTGAGGAAATAAGGTCCAGTGGACCACGTCAAAATCAGGGATGTGACCTAACCAGGCACATCAGAAAGGTGTCCCTGTTCTTTGCTGTCGGCAGCAGAACAGCAGCAAGAAATTAAATATGTGGAAAAACACCACTGAGGAGCGTCTCAATAGGATGTGCACTGATTTCTTGCAGAGCTGACGACACAGGATTAGCCTAACCCCTGGTGTGTGAGTTGTTTTTCTTTGTTGTTGTTGGGGGGCGTGTGGTTTTTTTTTTTGGTGTCTGTGTTTTGGTTTTGTGTTTTTTTATCCCTCACTGCTCTGTATCATATAAATTGATTTCAGTATGGATTTCCTATTTTTTTCTGTGATAACACAGCTTTTAGAGGCCTGGTACTTGCCAGAGCGTTTCTACCCCCACCTGCTTCAATGACACCATTCTGTATCGGACACCAGGCTTTTGCATTTCTGGACATGTTTCAAGTGAGATGTTTTGGGTTGGCTTTAAACTATTCCCTTAAAAAATCCAATGTGAATAAGCAGGAAATTAAATTGGCCAGTCCAGTTTGACTGCCTAGTTCCCTGAACCACACTAAGCAAACAGTTTCAAGACTGCAGCTGAAATATATCTAATCTTATCAGGATTTCTGTGAAAGCCCCCTTTAAGTCAGTACCCCTTTAGGTCAAATAAAGGGCACCTTACAAACACACATATAGAAGGGCTTTCATTCAGAAACCCTCCCTAGAGTAGGGGGGGCAGGGATGGAGGGCCCTGAGCTGCCTTTGAACAGCAGCAGCAGATGCAGCAGGCAGGTCTGAGTCCAATTGTTTAAATTCCACTGAAGGAGGCACTCAAAGCAGACAGTAGCCAATCCAGGTTTTTCATCGTTATGAGGCTATTCTTCTCCTTGCTTTTGTGTCTGATGTTGCCAAAGACCCTTTGACAAATGGGAAAGACAAACCAAGTGACGAGACTCACCAGCTGGCTGGAGACCAGGTGCTGTTCAGTACAGGTACAACACGCTACCTGTCCCTGCTGCCAAACCTCCTCAGCCACCCTGCTACCTGCCACACGGAAAAGTGGCTCTCATCTGTCAGGGCATAAGCCCACGCTGCACTTCACTAAAACCAAGACGCTTCAATCCCTGCTCCATTTCCTTCCCCCAGCTCAGCTGGCCACACAGGCTCAGACCTGGAACGACCTTTTTGCTTTGACATTTGCAGAAGAGAAAGGACGCAGCAGAAACGCTGCATCATCTCTGTCACCAGCCTCCCGGGCAAGCCAGCTGGGCCACCTTGGTCACTCTCAAAAGGAGCTACTTGCAGAACTTCTCAGGACGGGGAGCAATTCTCCCTGTTGCTGGAGTATTAGGATACATACTAATACTCTGATACAAACAGGCAAGAGGCAGCACCAGCACCGAAGCCTGCAGTTACAGAAGGAATAGGGCTTACACGATCCACAAGAGAGCCAGGAAATGGGGCCCCCAGCCAGTAGCTGGTAACACCAGGACTGTCACTAGCTAAGGTGCTACTCACCACATACCTGAGAAATCAAACAGGAACCTGGGCTTCCACCTCTCCAGCAAGAGGATGCCAAGAAGGGACATGCTGAGGAGAAAGAGTGGCCTCAAGGATGTGGAGGAAAACAACCTAGAAGTCAAATGAGAAATGGTTAGGCAGTAAAAAGGCAGCAAGTTACTGCTCTTGATGAGCAACCAGGTAGGACTCAGAGCAGATACACCCAACTGCTATCGGCCACTGCAGCAAGCACCACGCTCCACTGGCACCCACCACCGCCACAGCACATTCTCAAACGCTGCCTTTGCCCACCAGCCAACTACCAGCCACCTCCCAGCACTCTCCTCCCCGCTCCTGAGCTCTTCCTGCCGTTGCACAAGGGTAATGCTCTCTTGGAGAAGCAGAAGTCCTTCTGAATCCTCAAGGTGGAGGCTCTAGATAACATAAATTGCTGTAGCAGAAGACTGGTTGAGAACAAGCCTGTTTGCTGAAAACTTACATTCTATTTGTCATCAAAAGGTCCAGCATTATCCGCAGGCAGCAGCAAAACACATCTTGCACCTGCTTCTAGACGTCCATTCCTTTATCGCACACCTCTCCCTGTTTCATCTGAGCCAGGCCCTTAAACGGTTTAGCTGCCCACTTGACTCTATCGTAAAACCTCTCACGCCCCTCATCAACACATTGGCTTGAGCCAAACGCCAGCTCACACGAGACTACTCACACATAGTTGCACAATCCCACCATGAAAGAGTTTCTCTCCCCATTCCATACAGTTTGAACAGCAAAGGTGCCAGGACAGTGCTTGTGTCAGCAGTGGCTGTCTGCGTTCCTCCCTTCTCCCAAGAAGGAGCATCAACACCTCCCTGGTTTTTAAGTCACTTCAGAAACAAATGCTGGGGAAATGCATTCACCCTTATCCCTCTAATGAACACCCTTTCCCAGAAAGCAAGAGTCACTCTGCTACAGCACCTTGCTCCTCTTCAGCAAGTATTTGGCAATAACTACTCTCAAACACACCAGAAAATGGTCAGAGTTGGAGAGCATCTCACCATTCAGTGCAGGGAAGAGCTGTGCCTCCCACCAAGCCACAGTCAGAGGTAGAGGACTTGGAAGTGAGATCTGCCTCACTGGGTGGCACAGAACAAAAGCGACACACTTCCCATGGGCTTACAGAACCTATAATGACCTATACAACAACGTTTTTATCCCTTCTCATGGGACAACAATTCTGTAGCTTAACATTTCTAGAAGAATTTTTTCCTATTCCACCTCATTTACGGATTGCAGCTGAAGGATGCTGGCAGAATCCTCCAAGGGACCACAAATAATTCATCCCCCTCCATGATATTTTAAATCTCTCTCTGCTGTCCCATATTCTGGGCGCCCTTTGTTCTTCTCAATCTTTTTACGCACAGTCCCTTAGCCATCATTGTCTACCAGTCCTGCCATCTCACAGCATGCCTCTCCTCCTCCTAATGTCCAAGCTCTGGTTTCAGACCTTTCCAGCTGGTAGAGGAGTCCAAAACACTGAAGCACCTGGCTCCCATGTATGCCTCTGATAATCACAAGGATGAAGGAGCGGAAAGTAAGCAGCCTCCTCACAGTGACTTCAAAGGCTGTTTAGTGACACACTTTCCCCTTCTCTGACTTCAGGGGCTGTCCCTTCCTGTGTCATCTGTTTAACTCTTTTCCTGGCCAGTTTTAACCTTTTTTCTGCTGGGAAAGCCACTGGCTGACAGCGTTTTTTGCTGGCAAAACTGACTCACTGTTTATACAAACAAACAGGATGTTTTTCATTCCGATCCACAGCTGGGTTCTGCCACTCATGCTCCCGGCTCCTCCTCGCACTGCCAGAGAGGCAGCAAGGGAAGGCAGGGCAGGGGGATCATGCCCGGTCCTCAAATCGGCTTTAGCGCAAAAAATCGAGGGGAAGAAAAAAAAAAACAAACCAGATTTAACGAGAGGAAGGGCTTAAATAACGCCACACGCCCCTCACTGCTGCTGGAGGCCACTGACCGCGATATGGGGTGAAGCGAACCGATAAAGCACAGATGCAAAAAAAC